TACTCACCCAACCTACCTACTCAAAGATACAAGATGCCTGTACTAAGACATACATCAAACTTGTTTTCCAATGAGAACCATTTTCCTCTTGTCCTCATATAATTATGAGTTGAGAATAAAATAAAAGTGTTTTTTTTGTGTTTATTGTGCATACAGGCCACTCACTCAAACATAGTATCTCTTCCAAACTATCAATTAGAAGGCTGATGCATTTCTAGCACAAACTGGAAAACATATATCATTTGCTAAGGTATTTTGAAAGATAGATTTACATAATAATAGTAACATTATGGGTGAATTAATCCTCCTGAAGAAGAACAAGGTTAGAAACTGACATGAAATGCAATAAACTTCTGCTCCTGGTTTCTCTATGGGCAGTAGTTTGCCAAATATTTGCATAGAAAAGTATTGTCAACTGCTGTATAGGGTTCCATTCATAGGAAAACTGTTTGGCTGTGATTTAAAATATTTTTTATCTTATGATGTTGAGCAGAAAGGCATGAGATGATTAATTTCTCTTCCTTTCTTCACTTCTGGGGCCACGAACTGAAATTCTAGTCGCAATAGTCTCAGCAAAGCTGTAAATCTATAAATCCGCTGCGATAGATGAGCTGAATTATCAGGCAGATGCAGACGATCAAAGTACCTAGGATTTTAAGATAATAGAGATAAAAGTTAGGCAAAGGTTCAATGAATTTTAAAACACATTATTCGATCATTTTTTGGAATTTTTTTGTGTCCAGTGGGCCTGCTGTGTTGCCCAGGTTTCTGGAGTGCAAAGGTGCAACTAGAGGTCACTGTGAAATTTGACTCTGGCTCAAGGATCCTTCCACCTCAGTCTTCTGTAGTGGGACTACAGGTGTTTACTACCATGCCCAGCTAAGTAATTATTTTTATTTTTTTCGAGACATAGGTCTGGCCTGCCCAGGCTGGCATCAAAACCCTGGTCCCAAATCCTAATCCCTCCCTCTCAGCCTCCTGAAATGCTGGTTTACATATGTTTTATTATGCCTGCTCAGAATTCCTTTTAACAACATTGTGTCTCTGCTTTGCCTTCCTAGTTTCTCTTCTGTGTAATTATTTGATTTCTGTTCATACCAGTCTCACTCCATCATGCCAGTGCTCCTAGGATCTCCAGCTACAAGGTTCTCTAGAGACAAACTCTAACTTCAAAACCTAGCCCATTGCACTCAAAATACTGGTTTCTTATTCGTAAATAGGCTATAATATTACCTCTCAAGAGTATTATAAAAATTAAATGAAATAAGGCCCATGAGTGTACTTTATAAGCTAAAAAAGTCCTAGGAGATATGACTTCTATTTATTATGGATTCATATGCTTTATAATTTTCTACCAGCAGTCACAAATAAATGTCTTTAATGAGATAAATCTGCAGGCCAATTCTAAATCTCTATTATTGGGAACTATGTCCATTAGGTAAGATCATGTAAATGATGCACTTATATTGTTTTGGATCCTGGTAATTCCCTTTCATATACTTTTCCCACCTCTACCTGCCCTACTTTCTCATCTTCTTCCTGAGAAATTTTTAAAAATAGTAGCTTGTAAAAAAAAAAAAAATCTCTAAAAGTTTCTTCTTGGAATATATGTGTAAAATGGGAACTTCATGAATTTATTTTTCCTTAAACTTCCTGTTAGTTTACCTGATCCACTCATCCACATAAAATTTGACGTAGCTGATTTACTTCTTATTTAGAATTGCTTTTTCCTCTAATTTCTTTTTTCATTTGTAATTTTTAAGTCCTCTAAATAAAAATAGCAACAATTTCCCAGAGTGCTTCATCTCTATAATTATTTGATCACACAACTACAATGTTTCCTAGAATATAGGTAAACAGGCCCAGCATAATAAATACATATAATTTTCTCTTACATCAAGTTTTATACATTTATTTCATTACTTTAATAAGTCATGACTAACACCAATGACAGTACTAGACAATCAAATACAAAGAGTTTTTGGTGTGCTGTGATATTTTACTTTAACATTTTATAATGAAACATATTCTGCAATTTAAGTACACTTCTTCATTACTGCCAAAAGCTGATTATTATTATTTTATTTTACTTAATATCTAAAATCTCTTATTTCAGCAAAATGTCATTTCAGACAAAATTAGCAAACAATTCTGTTCCATGAGACAAATAGACCAAATAAAAAGGGTATATTCATAACTCAACTGCCATAAAGCACAATAAAATAAATTAGACTGTGGAAGGCATTGTATAAAAGAGTTTTGATTTAAAAGTTCAGAGACAAGAGTTCTTATTTGAACTTATACTTAATTGGCAAATATAATATTGGAAATTTATTCAATATTCAGATATTGCAAGAGTATTATTGATTAAAAAGTACAAAAACTTGAGTTAAAGAATTTGGGTTTCAATCTGCCTACTTATTAGCTTAAGTCACTTTCTTGAGGGCTGGTCTTGTCATTCGTAAATGGGAAGAGTGATAATTACTTTCTGAAAATATGCTACACTTTATTCTAAATAATTTATGATTTGTTTTGATACAAAAAATTTTATTACTATAAAATTGTTAATAAAATGCAAATGATTTTTTCATCAGAAATTACACTTTTCAATTGTATGTCTCAGAATGCATATTGAATCGATATACAGCTTAGTATTAAATTACATTGGAAAAACAAATGCAATTACTATGATAATGGTGTTCATATAAATGACTCGCCCATGCACAAAAAGTCAAAATCAAATGAGTCAAAAACCCAAGTTTAGGTATATATGCCATGGTTAGTTTGGTGGGTTAAATTAGTAAATAAACGTTAACTAAACTGTAATAATAAATTAATGTGTAATTTAACTAATGTAGACTTTGAATGCTTTTAAGTCAATACATTTTAATTTTTATTAAAAATTATGATCTTGATAATTTATACCAATCAACTTAACGTAATTGATTTTGTAGTTTTACTTTATATTTTTAGTTAGTTTTGTTATCATAAATGTGGAAGAGTCAAACTCATGAGCATCTTGTTGACTCTCTTTTATATGACTATTTAAATGAAATAATCAATCCTATTTCGGCCTACAATTAAGTGCTCTACAAAATTCTGACTTTGTTCTTAACACAAGGACAGTAATGCTGCCATCTTGAACAAGTTAACTTCTGAACTCATCCTTGTGACACTGGCCAAAGCCCTGAGTTCTAGCCTCTGAGTTGCTCTTCTACCTCTACTCCACAGAAACCTGGCTGATATGGCCGCGTGATGCGGCTCATGCCTGTAATCTCAGCACTTTGGGAGGCTGAGGCGAGGCTGATCACTAGGTCAGGAGATCAAGATCATCCTGGCTAACCAGTGAGCCTTCCTGCCCTACTAAAATACAGCAAATTAGCTGTGGTATATCGCTGTAGTCCCAGGCCATTTGGGAGGCTGAGGCAGGAGAATGGCAGGAACCCAGGAGGCGGAGCTTGCAGTGAGCCGAGATTGCACTCACTGCACTCCAGCCTGGGCAACAATGTAGACTCTGCAAAAAAAAAAAAAAAAAAAATTGTTGATAAATATCCATGAATTCACTTTCTCCACTGCAAGCAAGCATCTATTATTCATTAAAGTAAATACTAGAGATCATGCATGATGAATTTCCTCTTTATACAATTTCTTTCTAGTTGCGAGAGAGAAGAATAGCTAACAATTATACTTACAAGATTTAAAATAAATAATAATATGATGTGCAAGGTGATATATGCAATAGATTTATCGAATACGGCTCTAATCATTTTGTCTCAGGCAATTAAATATTGTATGTACAACATACAAATATTTTAAAGAATGCTTGGGTTTTGCTTTATTTTGTTTTGTTTTGTTCTTGTTTCACTGTGGTAAGTATTGCCTGGTGACATTCTCTTCATCAGCCTACTGCATTTCTGGTTATTTGTCTTCAAATTATTATCTGCAAAAAGATACATAGTAGCAAGCATGATACTAGAGGTTTCCTCCATGAGAAGTTGGTGTCCCAGATGAGACTGACTCTTTGTATTGATCTAGTTGGAACTGTGCTGTTTGGCTGCCAGGGTATTGCAGAGCACAATTTAGCTATAGAATCAACCAAACCTGTAGAAATTATTTATCTGCAAGGGATGAACTTGTTCTCATAGTAATTCCATATGGCCCAGTGAAGCTGCATAAGACACTCAGATCTATTAGCTCAGGATCTGAGTATAAATAAGAGGCTTAAATAGTAATTTTAGGACTTTATATATCTGTAGATAGTCATAGTCACATTTTCTGATTCCAAAGTAGAAAATAAATATGTTTAGGATTTTAACAAAATGAGTAGTATGTGGTTGAAACTTGTCCTAACAGACCTAGTTTAACTGATTCCCTTGATCAACCTGTCACCTATTTCTGAAGCATATGGGAATTATGTTTCTTGGTGCTGTAAGTTACTCTGCTTGCCAGGCTATTTTCATCGTGCTATGAACTCTGGCTCTGCAGTTGAGTTGTATGTTTGTGGACAGTTAGTCAGCATTTGTTCCCTAAACTGATTTGTGCTTCCTTCTGTTGTTGCTATTGAAATTAGATAACTTAATTATATCTATATGAACCAAATTTTTAAAATACATTATTGAAAGTGAATCCTTTGTGTATTCTAATGTCATGGCACTAAATTTAAAATTGCGAACAACTTATGCCATATAAATATTAAAGGGTAAAATGTATGCTTACAATAATAACACTTTTAGAAAATCTAAATTAAAAAATTGAGAGATGAATTCAGGGTGATTTATATTAGAACAATGATTGAACCCCATCAATAGTAACATTGTAAATGAAAATACTAATGTAAGCCTCCATATTAATAAAAAGGATGTTGTTTACTGATAAATGTCTAGAGTTAAAATATTTGAGATCTCTGTACAGTTCTATTATTCCCAGATTTAACCTTGGATTTTGATTAAATGATCTATTACTGTGGTCCAAAATCACTTTATAATGCCCAAATCTTAAAGAAAAGGTAGAAATAAGGATAAAAGAATAATATTAGACTACATAGAATAATTACAACTGAGCATGAACTAAAATCCAATGCTTTCAAAAAAATAAACTATGGAATTGGAAAAAAAGATAGTTTCTCTGATAACTCCACGATATATGTACTTTAGAGATTGATATTTTTAGACTATTTTCCTTCTTCCAAATCTCTTTTGAAGCAAGTTATCTCGCAGACTTTGGAGCCAGAAACTAAATCCCAAATATCATTTCTGATAAAATCATCCGGCTGATTTTATTTCTTATTTTTTTTAAATCAATGTAAATTTTGTAGTACATAATATAAATATATGTACTATATATGTATAATATATATATGTGTGTATATTTATGCTTTATTTATTTATTAAACTGAGTTATTATTTACTTCTTGTATTGAACTCACATTTAAATGTAAAAATAAGCCTATTCAAGTTTATAAAATATCCAAAGAACTATTTAAAGTGAAATTCAGGATTATTATATAAGGAAAAGACATTAAGAAGTAAACTCAGAAAAAAAATTAATATTGATTCTTTGCATATACTTTATAAATAAATACCATCAGTAAATAGTAATATATTCATCCCATCATGAAAAAGGTAGTCAGTAGTTATGGGAAATTAATTGGAAATCATATATAATCTGGCAAAACAATAAACTTAATGCACCATCAAAATATTTGTTTTCTAATTTAATGAGGCCAAATCTAATATCCCACAAATCACCTGAGGGAATTTAGAAAGACATTTTCTGTACTCCAACACATTTACAGAATATTAAATTTTGTTTTCTACTGAATCAACAAATAAAACTCTTGTGGATATAGTCTCTCTAATTTCACCTTATTTGATTCAGCAGCATTGTAACCAATCTTAATAATTGTGATAATTTTTATTCTGTCTTCAATAATTATGGTAACTAATATTACTTTTCTCAGTGTTATTTTCTTTCTTTTTTTTTTTTTTTTTTTTGGCCAATCCAAGAGTTTTCCAAAGACAAAGAAATAATGGCTGCAAAATGGGAGTATTATTCCTCTTAATTAGGAATACGTTGTTTTCTGTATTTGTAAGTGTTATCTAGATAGCTTCTATGTCTTCTAGTGCTGTTTCTATGTATTGGAATAAATTTTAAAATATAGCATATATGCAAAAAGTACAAAGATCAGAAATGTACAGTTCTATAAAACTTTACAAAGTGACCACACCTGTGTAACTCGCATTTGGAAGAGGAAAAACATTACAATAACATATTATAGCGCTTCCTGTTTACTAGTTTAAAAGTTTCTCTCAAAGGTAAACATTTGCGTTTATTTCCTTTAACACTAAAATGAGTTTTATTTATTTAAAAATATAAGGAATTAGCAGTTTTAAATTCATTATATCTGACTCTTACTAGTTGTTTGAAATGATATGTATTATTGTGTTTAGGCACATCACTAGTCTTTAATACTGTAATGCATGCTATTATACTGTTGGAAGACATTTTCTGACTTCTATTCTGTCCACATAAACATTTTAATAGTTTTTTTTTCATATATCTAAGTGATAATTTGTCTATGTGTGTATAAAGATAAACTAAGTGTTATGACTGGCATGTCAATTTGATCAATAAAGAATAGAAAGTATTTGATGGCAAAACTGATTCCCTTTATGCATCCTGATTATCCATGTAACATGCAAATGATACACTGCATGTTGCTTAAAATATTTGTTGAATAAAATTAGGCAATTACATCATCAATATTATTATTCAGATTAATTTGGTAATTTATTATATGGGAAGCTTATGTCTGAAAAATCAGAGCACATGTCATTACTGTATTTGTAATACTGTAAGTTCTATTTGTCTATATCCTGATAATGATATTCACTTAGGATGTTAAAAGATCGAGGCAATGTTTTTTTCTTTCTATATGAAATATTGGATGAAAAGATGTTTATCTTGTGAAGAGGAGACGAGATGGTGGATTTACAGCGCAGGAGAGTGAGAGATTGATGAAGAATCTTGTTCTCCTAAGCACCAAAATCTAATGTCAAAAACTGACTGGCATGGGAAATTATGCTTTACTCTAGATTGTGAAGATCAGAAAAAGGAAGAAACTAATGTTACTGGAATTATTTTACTTTAGTCATCACTGCAGCTGAAATTAAAGAAATTTTTTATATTAAGCAAATGTTGATATGGTTTGGCTTGTGTCCTCACCCAAATCTCACCTTTGAATTGTAGTACTTCCCAAGTATCCAGGGCAGGCCAGGTGGAGCAATTGGAATCTTGAGGGCAGCTTCCCCACTACTGTTCTTGTGACGTGGAATAAATCTCACGAAGATTCTGATGGTTTTATAAATGGGAATTCCCCTGCATACACTCTTGCTCACGCCATGTAAGACGTAATTCTGCTCCTCATTTGTCTTCTGCCATGATTCACAGAGGCCTCAGCCATGCAACTATAAGTCAATTAGATCTCTTTCCTTTATAATTTACCTAGTCTTGTGTACAGTCTTAATGCAGCATGAGACTAATATAACTATGTATGTTGGGAGAGAGGCTTGGGAGTATCATGTATGCAAAAATAGTGACAAATTGTGGCCAAAAATAGTGGAGGAATGGAACTGATGACACTAGTATCAAAAAGCAAAAACATAGCGCAACAAGTCATGATAATATAACTGGTGAGGTTCGAGCATCTCAAATTTCCATTAGGAAGAGTTTAACATAATTCAGGGAGCCTACGCTGCAGGCATTTTCACATTTATTGAAGTGTTAGGTTTCCATTATTTGTTTGAAAAGCTTTTTTATTTCTGCTTCTCTTAGCATTTATAATCATGGTCAGAAGGGGTTATAAAAAGATTATTCTTTGGATTATGATGGGTAGGTAAAAATAAAAGCTAATTAGTTTTTAAAAATGTGTGAAATTGTTCAAGAAATTACTTTACTACATGGCCAGAAATGAGTTATCCATCATGCAATCCTAGAAAAGGTAATGGTAGTTTCTTTCTGATGAATGGCTAAATACATTAGTGAAACATATTTTATAAGAATTCAATATTTGTAATCACTACAAATATGGTGTTTTAAGAAGCAAACAAATCTGTGTTGGAAAAATTCAAATTGGCACACATAAGATACATATACACACACACACATCTTAGTAAATCATCAGTTATCCTGAAGGCTGATTTCTGTAACTTTAACCAGCCATCCAATCATTCATTTGTATCATCAGTAAAATATGAGTAGTAACCAGATAACATATGCCAAAGTAGCTTGATTTAATCATGTCAATCTGTTAGCATATATTTGCTAAATAGCACACTAAAATTCTATAAATGTATAACGCATGGAATTGTCAATAAAATATAGACTGCCTATTACATGAAAGCTGCTTTGTTATGGATGGGAATACAAAGAAAAAAATACTGCTTAATTCTCCAGGCTGCAAAATAATATTGACAGAGAGAGAGCTACTTATAATAACTATGGTTCCGTTTCTAATAACAAATAATAATAGGCTAAGGGGCAAAGGTTTTAGAAGTAAGGAAAAATAAATACATTTGAAAAGTGTTTTTGATGGCTGTCTCCAAAATCCAGTGTTAGCTGGAAGACAGTAGAGAGGTAATGGCGTAAGTCTTACTATTTGCTAAGAGATGGGTCTATAACTGAGCCTACACCTACTCTTCTCTATAATACCTGTATCCCCTGCAAACTACTTTGTTTCTGCTTCCTCATATACAAATGTTGATAAATTCGTATGTCTATAACAAGGAGAGGATTGAATGGAATCAAGCATATGGCTGACTTGCAAACAATAGCGGTAGCTATCACCGTGCGCCAAGCACTCGTTGTTTACAGTTAATTTATGAATTATCGATAAACGGTAATGAGGAGGTTCATTATTCAAGGTAAACTGGAGGTAAAAAGAGGAGGTGTAAGATGGGTTTGTGATTTGAACACAGCTGAAAACTAGAGAATGGGTTTTTAAACAATGCACAGTTTGACTCCTCTAGGACCTGTCATACAGCCAATATCAATGATGATGAGGAGGATGTTGAGGATGAGAATGGTGATGATGTTAGACTCAGTAGGATTGCCTAGATTAAGGAAATAAGTAGGGCAAATGATAGAAGTGAAATGTATTTAAGAAGATGGAGAATGAAGAATAGAGGGATTACCTAATCAAGACTGGAACCGCGCCCTTAGAGTTCCTGATATACAGATGGTAAAGGTGGAGAGCATGCCCACAAGCCTATGCTAGTTTCTATAAAATGTCTAGGTGGATTTATTGTGAGTGACAAGATGTTTTGAAGAAAAAATATTATTGCTTTTGAGTTTTAATATGCTTGTCTCCATTTGATCTCTTATAGTATGTAATTTTTCAAACTTTTTTATAAGAGAAACAGATATTATTAGTAGTTTGTAGCCAGATTTTATAGAGAATGGTAGAGCTTGACAGAGCCCAGCTCACACAAGTAAATCTCAGCACATTTTACTTCCCTCCAGCTAACAGCCGGTTTGAACATTGTGTCTAAAAACACTTCTAAAATGTGTTTGCATTCTTGATTTCTAAAACATTTGCCTAAAGCCATGATACTTTGTATTGCATGGTTAGAAACTAGCATATTGTTGATTGTAGTTTAGGGTGAAAGAAGCATTAACTATAAATTGCTTTGGGCAGCGGCCATTTCATAATATTGATTCTTCCTATCCATGATCATGGAATGTTTTTCCATCTGCTGGTCCTTCTGATTTCCTCGACAGTGGTTTAGTTCTTTTTGAATTTACATTCTTCATGGAATTAGAAAAAAATCTATTTGAGAATGGATATAGAATCAATAAAGAGTTTGCTTCAGCTTTTAAGATAATTCAAATAAAAAAGAAGTGCTGAGGCACCATGCTACTCAGACTTCAAACTATAAGATATGGCTATGAGAATCTGCAACTGCATACATTTGTAAAAAAATGAGGCATATAGAGACTAGCTGAAAA